AATCAGATAAGCACATTAACTGTGTGTAGCCACTTCTTTAAAATAAAACTAAAGTGTATGCTTTTTAGTAGTAAGTTTATAGTATTCGATATTGTACATGTACTGTTATTTTGATTGAAATTGCTGTTAATTTTTAATTGCCCTTGAATCATGCATTGGCAGAAGGATAGTTTCTAAATTAGTCAAAAATAACACAGTGTGTAATGACCTGATCTTGGCATCCATTAGTGATACCTGTAAAAAGATAACTTTTTAGGAGGATAAAATGACTAGAAGTTAAATGTAAAATTGCCTGCTCTTTCCTTCCTTAAAATTTCTTCTTTGCCAGATTTTAGATATCCAATCTGTGCACTATGTTGAATGCTTCTTGATCTTGGGAAAAAAAGACAGGCTTGGCTAAGCTCGATGAATTTTTTTTTAATCTCCAGATAATATCCGGCATAATAGATTAATATTGACACATTCAAATCCTGTTGATTTTACCTTCAACATATATCCAGACTCTAACTACTTTATAACACCTGAATTACTGCAATAGCCTGATAACTTTTCTCCCTAATTCCTCCATAGCCTTCTCTCTACCTTTTCTTTAAATAGCACTCATCAGATTGTCACATGTCAGCTCAGATCCCTCCAAAAGCTTCCCCTCCCACTTAAGGTGAAAGCCAAATCCTACAGAGCCCTACCACCCTCCCTCTACCTCTCTGACTATGTCATCTAATGTTTTCCCTGCCGCAATCCATTCTTCCCATAACTGGCTTCCAGGATATTCCTAGAAACACCAGACACACTCATTTCTCTGACCTTTCCATGATCTATTCCTCCAGGTAACCCAAGGTTCACTCCCTTGCCTGTTTAACACCTTTGCCCAAATGTCACTTTGTTAATGAGAACTTCTCTCGCAGCCCTTTTAAAAATCGTGCATCCATACTAGCATTCCTCATCACTTTTTCCATTTTTTTATTTTTTCCATAGCACCACCTTCTAAAATAATAGAAAGTGTTCTTCATTATCTATTTTATTCCTCAATGTAAATTCCAAGAATTCAGGATTGGGTTTTTTGTTGTTTGTTTTATGCACTTATGTCTCCCTAACACATAGAACACTGCCTGGTATATGATAAATAATAAACATCTGTTGAATGAATGAATCTACAGTCAAAATGTTAGCTAGTTCTTCTCGTGTGTGACTTACTAACTACTAAGATATGACATAGTTATTGGGAAAAGTCTTGCCTAGTGGCTTGCATTTAAATATATTTTATTGAAGAGAGCATGGACCATAGGGGCAGAGCAAAAGCTCTAAAGGTCAGATAAACCTGGGTTTGAATACCAACTCCACTGCTTACAAATTGTGTGACCTGGTGAGTTATATAATCTCTTACCTCAGTTTCCTCATCTATAAAATGGGGTAGTAGAGTAGTCATAAAATTTTCAAGCAAATGAACATAAAACCTAATGTTGGGCTTTCAGTAAAAACTCAATATTTGTAATTGCCATTTATATGCTAATTTTTTAAATAAAATATTTTATAAATGTTCACTTTTTTGACTAGGAAATTTAACTCAAGATGTGAATTGTTTGCTGTTATTTTTATGCTCTAAAGCACATTACAATGTTTTAAATATTTCTGCTTGAAAATATATTACGTAAAGCTAGCATTTATTGATGCCCTGCTACTGTGCCAGACATTCTGCTAGTTATATACTATTATCTCTGCAAGGGGCCATTACTGTCACTATTTTTTACATAAGGGAGCAAGCCTAGGATCATGGAGTAAGGGTTCTATCTCAGCTTGCTCAGCCTCTGAAGTTTTGGCCTTTTCCCCACAGACCACTGGTCTCTCACTTTGAACTTCAGCGCTCTTGAAGTAACTCAAATATTTGAGGATTCGAAAGGTGTGGTGCAGCTCAAGTAAGGGACTTAAGAGGTCTTGAGATTGAAGATGAGACTGAAAGACTATATTCCATGCAATACAGTGTGGATTTTAACCTACAGGCTCTGGGAAGACATCAAAGGTGTTAAACTTGAGAATAAGGTTTCAGAGAAGTATAAAATGACAGAATTTTCAAGGATTGGTTCATGTCATTTACTACAGTTCAGTCTTTATTATGACTGTAAACACATTAAGAATAATAGATTTTAGATCGGGAAAAATCAGAATAAATTAAAGCCATGTTAAGTAGGAGTTTGGTCTATCCTGGGCAAAAGCTCTTTAAAAAAAATGTAAGTGCCATTACATTCCACACAGTGTCTAATAATGTGGTCTCTTAAAAATTATATTGCTTACCTATTTCAAATTACAAAGTAAGTGCAGATAGAACAATATTTTTTAAAATGATGGTATGCCACTGGAATTTAGAATAGCAAAATGACTGAGAAATGTGCTCAAACTGTTATTTTGGTCTCTAATGCTTTAACATCTTTATTCCAGAAGAAAAGAGTGACTGCAAAAGTAAGTAATGTGATGATAGATGGCTGATGTTGGTTTTCCCCAGTCTTGAGAAATGATCACCTAAGAAATTATGAGTCGACACTGTGTCATGAGCATAGAGTTTGATAAATGTATTAGTTTCTTAACAAGATATAGGAAGTGCTAAACATTGAGAACAGATTTTGTTTCTTTAAGATCTTTCAGCCAATCACTGACTCTAGATCTTTTATTGTCAGCAAAAAAAGATATAGTAACAAAAAAGATGGTGATTTAAGAGACTTCCCATTGAGCTAGTTAAAATTATTGGAAACTCTTACATAACTTAATATAATTCTGTAAAAAAAAAAAAATCAAGTAAAGATTTTCATTTATTGCTTATAGAAGTTTAAAGTACATTCCCCCTCACCTCACCCCATAGATATTGGTTTCTAGATTTAGTTCTTGTGTTTTGCTGTTGGAGAGGTGGTGCAATTTTGACTGAATCTATTACACATTGTTGATCACTTGAGGGCAAGTAAAGCCAAGTCAATCGAAATAAAATAGTAATAGAAGTAAAGCAAATGAAAATATGGGAACAAAAATACCGAAAAGTGGAGTCTTTATGTAGTCTTCTTATTTTACTAAATGAAGATTAACATGAATGTACATGTATGACAGTATGAGAAAAATTAAAAGGAGGTCCAAGGAAGAGTGTGAGAGTTACACTTGTCTTTTAAGTAAATGTTTCCCAAGGTAATCAATCATTTAATCTAAAGTTCTGTCTAAAGTGAAAGCAGAGTAGTTACTCTTTGGACATGGAATTCTGTCATAAATATGGCTTTAATTTTTTCTCTCATCACTACAGTACATATGTTTTATTTCTCCAACACTTTTATAAACTGTTCCAGGCTGTAGTTAATGTCCTATGTTCTTTCGTCCATACCACAGCACTCAGCTCAACAATAGGTGGGAGATACTCAATATGAGCTATAAGAATAAATAAGGTTTTGAAACCTGTGTGAATCAACTTTCAATGCTTGTATATGAATTCAAAGGGAGAAAATTAAGTTGTTGATGTGGCGAATAAAATATATTACAATGTGTTTTAATGAACAAAATAATCTTTTTTGAATACTCTCTTCCATGGTGTGTGTGAGTTGTGAGGACGATAGCAGGTAGAGCAAGGGGAATGAAGATCGGGGAAGAAAGACAACACAGATCCTAAGCCATAGGTAAAATTTTCACCAGACCTCAAAGACATACTATCCTCTATTCTTTATTGAAAATTATTCCCCAAGACCAAAAATTGAGAAGACTACTATAATGTTAAATTATATAATTATCGTAGGGTATATGAGGCCACTGCACTAACACACACATATTAAATCTCTTTTTAAAAATAAAATTAATAAATTAAATTAAAGGTGAGTCAAAATTTGTACAGCTTATTTTAAGAATTACAATATGGAAAATAAATACACTGCTGTGTGGGAATACATAGATTATCTGTCACTGATAGCTAATGAATTCCTTCCTATTAAAATTTAATTGAAAATCTTCAATGATATTTAAGCTTTCACAGAAGTGTAAACTACTGTGACTACAATTCACAATGCATTTAAAACAATTATTCTTTATCATTAAAGTTAATAATATGCACATTAACCTCTTATGTAGTCTAAATCAATATTGTAGTTTAAAAGATATGACCTCTGGACAGCTTTGTCTAAATATTGATTTCATTGTCATTTGTATAAGGTATCAAACAAATTACATGCTGCACTAATATCATTAATGATGCCCCCTTAGAGCCTCTGACTTTATGGGTTCTTATAACATAGGACATGACATTACAAAATATTGAGGACATCACAAAATATAATTGCTGAATGGATGAGATTTGACTATCGCAGAACGGAGTCGCTGTAAACAGATAACTTCCAATCCTTTACTCTCAGTGGACCAAAAAAAAAAAAATACTACTCTTTAACATGCAGATTGGTTGTTGAGGTTGTTTCGAATGGAAGAATTTTTTCTGCCTCAGAGAGTCTGATTTACCTTTCTGTGATGCCTTAGACATTTCAGAAGAGAATCTTAAGTCAGATTAAAATGTAATTTTGCAATATAGGAGTTTTCGCCAAATCAACTTGTTTAGAAATTTCTGTTACAAGTTACTAGTGAGTCAGATGTGTTGGAAAATATATGCGTAAAAGAGGCTGAACCTTTCAAATGGTCATTATAGAATTAAATAAAAACTCATTTAAGAATGGACATGCAACACATTTTTCTTCATAATTGGCAGTTATATTATTATTTTTGTAAAAAAAATGCAAATTGAAATACTAGCTGTATAATTTGCTTTCTTTTACTTTTTTGTGGTTCTAAATTTCAGTGAATCACAATGATTATTAACATCATCCAGTTACAGCTAAGTCTATTTTGATGTTGTTTTCTATGTTTATGTTTTTTAAATTGTACTTCCCTTTTTGCTTTTTATAAAACTTTTTAGAAACAAGATGTGATCATACTCATGACACTCTAAGCTGTGGATGCTATAAACTAAAAATGTTCCCCCAAATCTCTTGTAGGTAAAAGTGACCCATTTTGTGTAGTTGAACTGAACAACGATAGACTGCTAACACATACTGTCTACAAAAATCTCAATCCTGACTGGAACAAAGTCTTCACATTGTAAGTAGTAATTACGTTCAGCTCATTTCAAAAATGGTGCTAAATGATATTATTTTTGAGATTTTGTGTGTCCGTTTAGTCTTAACTGATTAACAACTCAATGCATCTGGGCTGCCTTTGCTAGCAACAATGAATATCGTAATTGTATTACCTTCCTGATAGTGAAAACCTGGGGCAAGGGTATGCCTTTTTGTTGTTTTCATAGATATTTTTTTTAAATCGTGCTTTCTTTATGATTTCTCTAAGGATTTTGCTCCTATTAACTGAATTGCCATACTGCTTCTTCCTTTTATACTTTCTATTGAAATTCTCCCCAATTGCATTGATACCAAGGAGGACAAAGCTCTATTTGTTCCATTGCTGAAATCAGCAAACAATTCGGTCTCGAATTCGGCAGATGCTTTAGTTTTGGTTTGTTGCATTTTAGCACAATAAGAATATTAAGTATTGTCCTAGTTACCAAAACACTCTGTGAGTTAATTTTCCTTTTGTTTTAAAAAGTTTGTAAACTATTTTGATCATATGCTATAAAAGCTGCTGATGCTACACTGTGGTATCTACTGAGTTAGTTTTTATTTTTTTTAAACTAGTCTTTGGTAATGAATTCTGAACAAAAGAAAACTCCAAACAGAAGTGATTCTTAAAAGTTTTCTAACATAGTTTTTTTGTGTGTGTATGAAAACTGCTAAATTCCTCATTAATTTCTTATAATGTCTCTACTTAAGAGCCAGTAACTAATCAGATTTAATTATCTGACCAATTTATCTTTAAGGAATTCCACATTTTTATAAGAGATGAAAGCCTGGTCAGGAGACTTGCACTCCTAAGAAGGTTGTGGAGAGTGTTTTTCTCTGGAATGCATAATTGAATGAATAGGTTTGATTATTATCAAAGCCATTAATTGATTGTGCCCTGATAAATCCTCTTCTCACATGTGGATGCAGCCTTTCAGTAATGGATATATTCATTTTTTTGTCTCCTCTTAATTCATGTTTTCTTGGTAAACAGTTTGATCAAAGAATAAATCCTTTCAACAATTGGGGTTTATTTTTCCAGAAACAAAAATATGAAGAGCTTGCACAGTTGTTTATTAACATATGTTGTCTTTGGAACATAATGGAACACTACTTAATTTCTAAATCCTAGGGTGGTACAGTAGCTATCAATGTTACATTTTCTCTGTTCTGTTTTCTGTTTTAGTTAATTTTTACTAAAAACCAGAAAGAAATAAGTCAATGTTTTCATGGGAGCTGTAAGCAAAAAGGAGATGTCCTATTATAATAAAAAAGAAAAAATATATTAAATATAACGTGACTCTTGCTGATATCAAACCCGATGATGTTTTATTTGGGGTAATAGGAAGATAGGAATTATTGTGATAATGAGAAGAAGGAAAAGTCTAAAAACATCAGTGCCACTTTGGTGTTTTGTTTTGTTTTGTTTTTTTTACAATAACTTCTGTGTCCATCCAGATGGAAAATTATATTTGATTAAAAAATTATAACTTGAAATTATGATAGCATTTAAAGTTCCAGTTATGGAACCATCACTGTGGTCTACTAAGGTGAACTGTGGGAAATACTGTCAGATACGAAGCTACCTTGTATATATGTATATGCAAATAGCATACATAAAAACTCATACACACAAAATCAGTGGAGCTATCCAAATTTTCAAAAACATTTTTGTTCTTGTTCCCCACTGATGAAGTCTTTTTTTTTCCCTTACGTATGCTTATTATGCAGCAACATTAAAGATATCCATTCAGTTCTTGAAGTGACAGTTTATGATGAAGATCGAGATCGAAGTGCTGACTTTCTGGGCAAAGTTGCTATACCATTGCTGTCTGTAAGTTTTATTCACCTGACACACTGCTCTGTGTTGCTTTTGCTCAAGGAAAAAAAAAAAAAACCCTCAGCTCTATATCTGTCATTTCTCAACCAAGGTCTGTAATAAGAACACTAAAAATTTTAACATACTCAATTCACGGCCATGTTGAATCCCATGATAGTTAATTTTTCCTGACAGACTTGATCCTGGTAATGAACAGGTACTTGTCAGAATTGCCACAGTTGTTTTGGGTTCTCTGTCAGTTTCAGCAGCTGGGGGTCAAAGGTCACTGAGGGAGTGTATTCAGTAGAGACCGCGAGACAGACGGCTGTCATGTCCTTTTCCCGCAGATTCAAAATGGTGAACAGAAAGCCTACGTCTTGAAAAACAAGCAGCTGACAGGGCCAACAAAGGGGGTCATCTATCTTGAAATAGATGTGATTTTTAATGCTGTAAGTCTTAACTTTGGCTTTTTTGTACTGCTAAAGAGTTCAGTTTCATGAAAGCTTTTGTTCCTGATTTGTAGAGAATTTCTGTCATTCCTCATTTTCTCTAAACCTTGATGTATCCTGGAGAATACGCTTCTGCCACTGCCTGGCACACCCACACTTTCTGTTATAGTTGGCGGCTGCCGCTGCGGCTGTGCTCCGGCCGCTGTCTGCCTGCTTAAGAAATGGAAGCGCATGCATGTGCAACTGTATACATTTATATTTTATGAGCACAGCAGCCAGGACTTTGAAACTTTAGAAATTATTGCAAATTGAACTGCGTGAAAAACTTGTAAACATTTGTAATATATTAATCCATAACAGACACATATGTTGATGTATAGGTGAAAGCCAGCTTACGAACATTAATACCCAAAGAACAGAAGTACATTGAAGAGGAAAACAGACTCTCTAAACAGGTAAAAAAAGCAAGGAAAAATTACTCCCTCTGGGAAGACCTGATTATATCTGTAAAACATCTACTTAAATTCAAATAAACTTTCGAGGCGTGGAGGGGGGTCTACTTGTGTAAAATGGCTTTTTCTTTTTTTCTTTCTTTTTCTCTCTTCCCTTCCTTTCCTTAAATGATCAAACAAGGACAATACCAAACTATTAAATTGGATGGGGGTGGTCAGAAAAGAAAGGGGATACTGTAGAGGCTGCATAGAATGGATATGTATTCATGCATTAGCAAAAGAGTGATCATTTGAACATAAAATACAATTTGATTGCCATGGAATGTGTAAATGAGAACACCAAAACCTGAGGTTCAAATATATGTCCAGACCACCCACAGGTATGATGCAGGTGTGTGTAAAGCGAGCCCAGCATAAAGCTCTTCCCTCTAATCCACAAGAGAGGGGGCTCCATCTTTTAGGGGAAACCTTAATTAAATTTTGACGATGATCTTTGAGAAGTGAACTTTTATTGGCATTTTTAGCTAAGAAAATAGAAAATCAGGAACTCTGATTTTTCTGTCATGAAGGAATTTTAAATTAGGCTTGATATCTTGTAATTAGACTTGTAGTTTTAAATTAGGTTTAAATCAAGTTAAGAGTACTAAGCTACTCCTTTTAAAATGTTTACTTCTAATTAACACAGCTAAAATGAAATGTATTTGTTACGATTATTAAGTTTATAGAACTCGTGTGTGTATACTAAAATATCTAATAATTTTCTGGGCTATTAGAAGACTAAAAATCTTTTTATTTTTAATCCAATCAATTCACTATAAACAGTGGGATCTTTGGTTGTTTAAAGATAGTATGTGAGTTACAAATGCAATATCTAAATAGAAATACAGATTACATTTTTCCACAATTAAAGAAAAAGTAATCAAAGTAGTTCTTAAAGGGCGTGATCAGGGGTCAAGAAAGAAAACATACAGGGAGACTCTTAACTTTTCCTGAAAGGAATTTCAATTTTAACGGCTTATTTAAACTGGTATACATGTACTTGTGTCTACATTTACACGTATGTATTTTTTTCATACAACCTTAGTAAACTTTACATAGCTACTTCTTTAAAATATCAGATCAACATTGAAGTATATTTGGAAGTAACAAAATATTTACCTGCAGACCTATTATTTTAATTATTACATAGCTGTAGGTAAGTTTTTGAACCATCATCTAGTATATGTGCTATTTTTATAGCTGTATTCATGTCTTAGTTTTAAATTTTAAGTTTAAATTATATCAATTCTCATATGCAAGTTTTAGTAAAAAATTTTGTAAAGTATTTGGTTACTATATATTTTTTCCTAATTTCGAAATTATGAAAAAATAAGGAAAAAAATGTAGGTTAAATTTATTGTTGGAAAGAGAGATAGAGAAGGGGAGGGAAAGAGAGAATGAGAAAAGTGATAGTAAGAAAGGGAGAATCCTACTAAAATAGTGAAAAAGAATGTTTTCTATAATAAAGCAATGCTTGACAGGTTTTTCTAAAAACATCCTAAATTATCTATTTCACTTTAAAATATCTTGAAATTAAAGCATTTTAAAACCTCAATAATATTTAAGAGTTAAAAAATATATTTAAGGTTCATAATATGTAGGTAGAAAAAAAAGTTTTTAATCCTTTGGAGATTTTTTTTCTTTTGAACAAAGATAGCCCAACTTACCTGATAATGTTATTTAAGAAAATATATTTAGCTAAGAAATTGCTCTTATAATCCAGTTTCTCCAGAGATACTTCTTTCCCTTTAACTTGTGAACCAAATTGCTTGGTATATTCTTACAACTTTATTAACTTTCTGAATCCTTTTAAAATCACACTAAGCTTGAAGAATTTTGTAGCATATCTGATGGCTCTTAGTCCTGCAAATTCTAATAATATTTTATCTTCCTTTCAGCTGCTACTAAGAAACTTTATCAGGACTAAGCGTTGTGTCATGGTGCTCGTAAATGCTGCATACTACGTTAACAGTTGCTTTGATTGGGACTCGCCCCCAAGGAGCCTTGCTGCCTTTGTGGTATGATCATACTGTATTACTTATTGTTATTCATTAAATTCAGTAATCATAGCTGCGTGTTTCTGTGGCTATAGTAACAGTTATGTTGATGTGGCCATTTTAAAACTCCTATTTTAAGACTTGACTGGACAGATTTGCCGTGGGCAGGAACCTGATGGATTGTTCAAGGTCTGAGTCTAAGAATACATCCACCCCCCACCCTACCAGACTTCCGGAATGCAAGACATCTTCGCCAATGTATAATTTTCTCAAGTGACAGTTAAAAAGTAAAATTTTGTATATTGCATAATCCCAAATCCCAATAGCAGAGCCAAGAGAAGTCCTGAGTGTTAAAAAAAATTAATAATCTTGACCATCCTTATTTTAGTTTTATTCATTCTATACAATTTTCAAAATATGAAAATCATTGGCAGTAGGATGCTAGCTGGTAATAGTTTAATATATGACTCAATTGGAAGTGGATGTGACCTATTTAAGAGGCATTTTATTATTTCTGAGATTTCCAGTTTTTAAAAAAGGCACAAGTGAGAATTTGATAGATCCAAATAGTCTTCTGACAATGTTCATCGTGTACCCTTTTACTTTGGTTATTTAAAAACTGCTGAGGAGACCAACTTGCAAAGCTAGAAAATCCGAAATAATACTTTCCTCTGAGCTTCAGCTGGAATTTTCTGCTTTCACACTATTTTTGCTTATTCAAGATTTCATTTTGAAGTTTAAGTGGAATCCTTCTTTTGAAATCCTTTATTTTATTGTCATATTTGTTAGAATATGATTGCCTTATGCTTTTATAGTAGAAGGTGGCTTTATTTTGGGGGCTTACAAGAAGGGCCTAATTACAGTAGCAAATCAACATTTTAGTATTTCTATTCAAATGAGTATACGCACATCTGTTTAGTACTTTGAGCTCTGTCCTCCTCTCATGCCTTGTATGGGACTTTCATTAATGTTTGAGCACATGGAACAAAGAATGTGTATGTCCCTTTGTGTTGTAAGTTACCAGAAAGTTAGGCAGCCTGCTTCCCATAGACATGCCGTTATCTCCTTAAAGAAAGCGATTGTCATCATCATTAAGTTTTAGAAAAGAAAATCTGCCTCTTTTAATATTCTTTTATTTAGTTCTTTCACATAATAAGTACATTGGGGTACTGTTAAGCAAACTTTATTATGATTTTTTACTATCATAGAGACACTTTGATGTTAATGAGGAAAAATTGATTTTGAGTTTCTTTGTATACTTTATTTCATTACTTCTAAGTTCCATGGGGCTTTATGACAGACACAATGATATTCTACCAAAAAGGTAATGCTGCTGTCTTTGAATCATTTCTTCCAAAGTTATCTCTCATAGCTGTTTGTGAAATTTGAAAAGAGAGAAATCTATATAATTATGTCATTTGTTCAGGAACATTCATTTTTAATGTTTTAGTGTTATATGTGTTGTGTAAGTCTTTATAAAGTTCATCTGGCTTCTAGATGTCACTCATGTAAAGTGAATTCAAGATGGTAGACTTCGTTCAAAATTTCCTTCTAATTAAAACAAAACAAAACAAAACAAAAAAACAGGCACCAAAATTCTGAGAAGCGTAGGTACATGTACATGATAATACTTGAGTGATTTCACTGTAAGAGAGTTAGAGTTCACTGGGTAAGAAATGTAATATCTCTCTTAGCTGATGGTCAGCTTCTGTCAGAGTCAGTCCCGTGAAACAACCTGAATGCAAGATGCTTGCAGAAAAGAGAGAGAGATCACAATAAAGATATGAAAAGGGAGACACTGACGGTGAAAAACAGGCCACAAACTAATATGTAAACATACATTAAGAGTACTTTTGAGAAGAAACAATAATTAACTGTTTCGCTGAAAAAAAAAAAGTACCAAATTACATACTATTGAACGTGATGAAACTGAATGACAAAGCCAAACTTCACTTACCTAGACCCGAACTAGGGTTCCACGAAGAGTTCCACGAGAATGCGAACCCTACCTTTTTCACTTGTATTCCAATATTACCTACAGAGTATCTGGCCCTTAGTAGGCTTCTAATATAAATGGCTATCTAAATCAATAGACCAATGAATGAACCAGTCAATCAATCTGAATTTTTTTAATGTGGAGAAACTATTTAATGATGCCAGATAAATAAGGGTTTGCTCTAATAAAGCTAGTTATTAAATGATGATGGACATAGATTAATGCTGTTGTAGCAATTTTCCCTAGATGTTTCATTTCCATTCTAAATTATTTCATAATCTTCTACCAATCATCTATTTAAACCTCAGATTAAATTCTGATACAAAAATATCTTTATTTAATAATAACAACAACTAATATATATTAAGCATTTGTTTGCCAGGGAAGTGTTTCTCAGGCACTAATGAATGAAAGGGCTTTTCACGCATTAATGAATTTAATATTCCCAACAACCTTATTATGAGGTCGATACTATTATTTTCCAATATACAAAGAAAAAAACGAAGGCACAGAAAGTTAAGCACCTTGGCTACAGCCACACAGCAGATATTATTTCCTTTCTAAAAGAGCTTTTAAATATGTACCCTGTAATCTTAATATCATAACAATTCCGAAAAAAAAAAAAAAACTGTTGTAAGGTTTTTATTTATCTTGTAAATATTAAATGGTGTGGGTATTTAAAAATGAAGTGTTTTAAAGATCTCATTGCATAACCAGAGCCTTTTTAGGCCAGTTTATTGAAAAGAACTTTCCATTAGGAGAAGAGTATGAGTAGCACCCCATTGTTACAAGCATATTGTTCCCATCATCCCCTGTTGATGGATCATGGGTCTATTATTATAATGTTGGTTACACTTGGCCCACTTTTTCATAAATGCAGCTGCCTCGTGGAGCATGTGCATTTGTACCATTATGTGGCTTGGTTTTAGGCCCAGATCAGTAAACTTTATAATGTTTAAGTGCCCTTTTTCTGTTCTGTTTTACTTCTTTTCTAATTTACTATCCAAAAATAAATGTAGAATGATGAAATCAAAATGAAAAAAAAAACCCAATAATTTTGTTGTCCCAATGTCAGATAAAATGGAAAGAACAAGAAATGCAGAGTTAGGGCTGCTCTGGCCTCTTTAGCACTATACCTGTGTGCTGTGGGGAAGATTCAAAGCTGGCTGACGATATTAGAAGCTGAAATCAGCCAGGATGGTGATGGATAAAATATAAGCAAACATATTCCTGGGAATGTCCTTGTTTTCATGTGCTGTGAATTAGGTTTTTAAATTTTACTGTGAATATTGTATGCCTGAGAGCGAACAGACGTATGTGGTGCAGAAGGCATTGCTTGTCTTTTGGAATCATCTTTTGTAGACGTGGAAATGTCTCATAAATTGGGCCTAATTTTCATCAGGCTCTTGACCAGACATTTGTGTTCTCATGGATGTCAGTGGGTGCAACATGGGGGAAAAAAGAGTGCACATTCTTTCTTTCTTTTCAGTACTGTCATTTCTCACTGTAATGAGCACAAAAATAATTGGACAACTGAGCTATCAGTAAAAGGACACACTTCAGTGTGCATCAAAGAATTATTTTACAGGACAAACTTTAATCTTTAAATGTGATTGTAGATAATTTGTGGTACCATCTGTCCATTTGGAATTGTTTTAGCCTTTTCTGTCGTTATACAGTAAGTGCCGCTGTGTTTAACATTAACATTTGATATTTTACACATTTAATTTCTGTTCTGCTGTGTGGTCCTTAGGGAACGGAGTGCTAGTGCTACATGAGAGAGACAAAGTATTGATCAGTTAACATTTCAGCTACATTTATGTATGTCGCAAAATTAATGAAAATGCCAGACAAAAATGTCAGAGTGCACAAAAAGGTAGAATTTAAATTTGGTAGTTTAATGAAAAGTTTAAGATGTGCATTATCCAAAATGTCCTCTTGCCTTTAAAGTACAATTCCTAACAGAATAACTACAGGGAGACACATATTTTACTTAGAGGAACAATGAACATGAATTATGAAGGGATGTCGACTTCTCAAAAGTACCTTGTGTTCCAAAGTGGCATGTTTAAATGTTTAACCGTTACTCATAAAATGCATTTGTTTTTGTTCATATCGGAAGGGCTTCTGGCTTCAACCCTCTATCCTGACCAGCCTATAAGGCAGACTTCCAACTGAGATTCTCTCCTTAGGTTTTCCTTGGTATCCATGTGTTCCTTTTGTGTCTGTCAAAACTGAGAATTCCCTCTACAGCAATTCATCGAAGCCACTCTGGTTCATTACTTGTTCCTTTCTGGGTCCTTTCAAATGGCTGGTTTTTCTTTGCTTCCAGATAATTTGTGCTCTACCTTCATTCAGTCCCCATTTTACTAAAGGATCACACTCGGGACAACAGCTACTCTCAGAAAAGCTGGGCATTATGCAGGAGAAGAGAAAAACAGAGATGATGTATGCAAAGAATGACATGAGGCAGCTCTGTGTAGCCAAATGATTTTTTAAAAAATGGAGGAAGCACAGGCGAGGGAGGCAGAACTGAACTTGCAGAGGCGATGGGGTAGACAATGATCTGAAGACAATAGGCTCTGGAGGATACCTTATCAAGTACTTCCTGGGTAGAAAGCCGGCTGCTATAAAACAGCATATGGGTTTTTCTAAAAGTTATTATAAACAATAAGGACATTTTAAGTGGCCTTCGTGTTCAAGGAATGAATAGGGAACATTGCGTAAGGAGAAATATCAATGCAAAAACAAAAGCATGTCTACTTCACCTACAGTTCAAGTCTTTGCCTTCATATTACGGAACAATGTAGGGTGCTTGTACCACATATGGAATGTAACTTTAAGTTTCTAACAGAAATTTCTATTTTAAAAATTTCAGAGATAGCAGTAATACCACACCAACAAAATTATGCTTCGAGTCCATGGCAATTTTTAAATGATTTTTATTGAAGCTTTTTATTGTTGTTGCTACAATTTCATTTTAGTGCAAGCAGAAAAATTGGAAATGTTCCAGAGGTAATTTTTG